CGGTCCTGCTTCTGTGCTGGTTTGCTACCTTTGTACCATAAAATCCATGGTTATTAGTTCTTAGAGTGTTTACACAGAATTAAACACCACTGTGTTTAATAATGTATTATTATTAGAAACACAACAAGACAAGTCTACAGCAGACAGGATCACTCTGCTGGCTGTTGTATTGGATCACACTTCGGATACTTCCCAAGTGTCTAGGATTGTGTGATGTATCGGCAAATATTGTGTGCAAATCCCAGTAAGGTGGCCTTTGCAGCTGGCAGATGGTAATTTTGTCAGTGCCGATTGTGTTTAAGTGCAGGCCAAGGTCTTAGGCACTGCACCCAGTGTGCTGATCACAACTGGGATGACCTTTACTGGCTTGTGCCAGAGTCTTTGCAATTCGATCTTTAAATCCTCATATCGTGTCAGCTTTTCCAGATTGTTTCTCTTCAATCCTGCTGTCACCTGGGATTGCAACATCGACAATCCATACTTTGTTTTTTAACACGATTGTGAGGTCAGGAGTATTGTGCTCCAAAACTCTGTCTGTCTGAATTCGGAAGTCCCAGAGTAGTTTGACGTGTTCATTTTCTGTAACTTTTTCAGGCTTGTGATCCCACCAGTTCTTTGCCGCAGGCAGATGGTATTTGTGGCACAAGTTCCAATTAATGCATAACTGTGTTATGCGTCTGCTTGTAGTCTGTACAATGTATTATCTGCACGATGTATTATCTATTATTACAATGACTGAAACGGCGATTTGACGGATGAGACCGTTTTACTGTTGTAATGATTGTTTTACTGTTTATGGATGTATTTTAATTTTATTTATGTCCAACTGTAATTGTATAATAGTAATTGTTTGTGCTGGCCTTGAATTTTGCCATTACCTATGTGGAAACCACTTTGAGTCCCCTTCGGGGTGAGAAAAGCGGTATACAAATGTTATTATATTTATTATTATTATTATTATTATTATTATTATTATTATTATTATTAGTATTAGTAGTAGTAGTAGTAGTAGTAGTAGTAGTATCTGCGAGAAGACCAGCCAGTCCATCCTCCAGGAAATAAAGCCCGACTGCTCATTGGAGGGAAGGATACTAGAGACAAAGTTGAAGTACTTTGGCTACATCATGAGGAGACAGCAAAGCCTGGAGAAGACAATTATGCTGGGGAAAGTGGAAGGTAAAACAAAAGGAAGAGGGGCCGACCAAGGGCAAGATGGATGGATGGCATCCTTGAAGTGACTGGACTGACCTTGAGGAGCTGGGGGTGGTGACGGCCGACAGGGAGCTCTGGCGTGGGCTGGTCCATGAGGTCACGAAGAGTCGGAGACGACTGAACGAATGAACAACAACAACAAGAGTATCTTGCTTTATCTGTCTAAAAAAGAGACTCAAACTGGTGCACAATAAAACTAATACAATATAATTTAAAATCTAAATATGTACAAATATTGAAATGGAATTAAACATTAACAGTACTAAAAATAAACTCTCTAAGCCCTTAAAACTAATTAAAATTCTATTCATAGCTAAAACCACAGCACCCTCCGACTTTATCTTTCAAACCTCCTTTAAAAGCCTGTCTGAATTTAAAAAAGTTTTAACTTGTCATCTGAAGGACTTTTTGTATATATTTCAGATTTCAATATTAATGTCAAAAATACATAGGATGATTTTACATAGGGTTTGTACTACCTTAGAACAGTAAAGACACATATCGCTTAAGTAAAATAAACATTAAATGTTAAATAACCAGAAAAATAAAATAAGGTGTAAACACTAAACTAATATGGGAATCTGCTATTGCAGCACATCCAATGAAGTGTTTTAAAACCAGTACAAAAAGGGGGCCATTTTGGCTTTCCTGGGAAAAAGGCAGTTCCAGAGTACAGGGGCAACCACCAAGAAGGAAGGCCCTCTTTCTCATTCCCACCAAAGCCAAGCCCAGGCAAGTTCGTACAGGGAAATGCAGTCAGCCAAATAGCCTGGACCTGAGCTGTCTAGGACTTTAAAGGTCAAAGCCAGGACTTTGAATTGTGCCTGGAAATAAACTGGCAGTCTGTGAAGCTGCTGCAATAGGGGGGTAGTCCGCTCCCTGTTGCCAGCCCCAATGAGAAGCCTGGCTACATATATTTAGGCTAATGCTTCAAGCTGCACATTACATGTAAATGTATATAAACAAACAGTGCCCAACTGCCCTTTTTGCCACATGAAAAGCAATGCCTGGCGGTTGTGAGTTTGTATCATCTTTCCCAAGTATCCTGTTTCTCTTAGAAATTACTTTTCACTGAAACCGAAGGCTCTTAAGCTGTACTTTCTAGATGCATATTTTCCAGATGAATGAACTGTGGGTTTTTTTTAAAGAAAGAGGATATGTGTACTGACCATGCAGTTGTCAATTGTCCTTAGTGTAAAGATGTAAATCATTGATTGTTTTCTCCTCACATAGTGCAGATTTCTCCCTGCTGCAGGTCAAAATGGTATGTCTCTGCAGTATTCTCTTTATTTTTGAACATCATGTGTAGGAACCAGTGTTTTCCACATAGACAACATATTTTGTGCATAGTAACAGTGTTTTCTGGACAGGGAATCAGTTTTCTTCAGAGAAAACACTTGGTTTTTCTTAAGGAACAAATGTGTTCATGCAAACAAACTTCAGACACTTCAATACTGAATCATAGAATTATAGAATCAAAGAGTTGGAAGAGACCTCATGGGCCATCCAGTCCAACCCCCTGCCAAGAAGCAGGAATATTGCATTCAAATCACCCCTGACAGATGGCCATCCAGCCTCTGTTTAAAAGCTTCCAAAGAAGGAGCCTCCACCACACTCTGGGGCAGAGAGTTCCACTGCTGAACAGCTCTCACAGTCAGGAAGTTCTTCCTCATGTTCAGAGAGAGACAATGTTCTGGTGTTATTCTTCTGTCATTTGTGAGCCACTTAGATACCTTAAGGTAAAGGTAAAAGATTTTCCCCTGACATGAAGTCCAGTCATACCCAACTCTGGGGGGTGGTGTTCATCTCCATTTCTAAGCTGAAGAGCCAGGATTTTCCGTAGACACCTGGTCATGTGGTTGGCGTGACTGCATGGAGTGCCGTTATCTTCCCACCAGAGCAGTACCTATTGATCTATTCACATATGCATGTTTTCAAACTGCTAGGTTAGCAGAAGTTGGGGCTGTCAGCGGAAGTTCATGCCGCTCCCCAGAATCGGACCTGCAACCTTTCGATCAACAAGCTCAACAGCTCAGCGCTTTAACCCACTGCGGCACCGGGGGCTCCCACTTAGAAACCTAGAAATGAATAATTATGAATATTCTTTGCATATCTAGTTTCGTGCAACATAATGTGACCCAAAAACATAGTTACATTGCTGGGTTGGAATGACAGGAAACACATTTAAAGCCTGCTGATAAGTTTGGAATAGAGCCAGAAATTGATCCCTATTCTCCTTTGGTGTGTTAACCACAAAGCTATCCTTTCTTAATCAATTTTTGGAAATCCCTGCGGAGCTTGTGAGAAACTTCTGCCTCCCTAATTGCCCATTGATTTGTTTTTCTAAAGAGAAGGCAAAGTTTGCTCTGTTAGTTGTCTCTATTTCATTTGACTGTTGACAAAGAAGAATTAAAGATCATAAGACAAAACACCTTTGTTTGCTCCTTGTCAACATTGTTTTAGTAACAGTACTTAGGCAGCATTGATTGCATTGAACATGTTAGGGGTTTAAAGTTTTTCTCTGATAAAGTCTGTAAGTTGTTTTAACAGTGAAAACATGACTCAACTTTTAGTATTTGGAAACATTTGTTTCATTGGGGGGGCACTGTTTGTATTTGAGGGTGGTGGGTAACCCACAGTAGTTAAAAATAGGCACATAATTTCTCACTAAGCTTCTTCTTGAACATATAAAGAAGTGATTTTCTACTCAGTTCTAGAAAGTCTTTGAAAGCCATGAAGTTTTCAAAGGCTTATTTCAATTCAGAACTTAGAACTCTATTGTACAATGACATTCTCCATCTCCATGCCCTTTGCATATTAGTTCCTACTGATCCCATCACACGATGCACAGTCCTCTTCATCAATTTATTTATTTACAGTATTTATATTCTGTATATCAATAACCTGTAGGAAGCTGTATGCAAAGGACTTGCAGGCACTTCCTTTTTTACGATGGGATTTCAATCATTTTCGTTCATTCTTTATTTCTCCATATGTATGTAGAAGTGTGGGAGCCCCCGGTGGTGCAGTGGGTTAAACCCCTGTGCCGGCAGGACTGAAGACTGACAGGTTGCAGGTTTGAATCCGGGGAGAGGCGGATGAGCTCCCTCTGTCAGCTCCAGCTCCCCAAGCGGGGACATGAGAGAAGCCTCCCACAAGGATGATAAAAACATCAAATCATCTGGGCGTCCTCTGGGCAACGTCCTTGCAGACGGCCAATTATGTCACACCAGAAGCAACTTGTAGTTTCTCAAGTCGCTCCTGACACGACAAAAAAAAAAAAACAGAAGTGTGGTACTTGATGTGTGATGGTACACCCATCAGGTCATGGGCAGCCCACCCCCTGTTAACATATTTCAGGTTTTCCATTGAAAGAAGTAGATTAACCAGTTGTGGTGTTGGCATTGCCAGAAGTGGTCAAACAGATTGTAGGTTTTCCATTAAAAGAACTGGCTTAAAGACCATAAATTTTCTCTAGAATCATAACCCAATTCTGCCATATAGGAAAAGCCCAATAAAAGTATCCCCAGTAGATGGCCATCCAGCCTCTGTTGAAAAACCTCAAAGGAAGGAGCTTCGACCACACTCCAAGGCAGAGAGTTCCACTGCTGATCAGCTCTTACAGACAGGAAGTTCTTCCTAATGTGCAGGTGGGATCTCCTTTCCTGCAATTTGAGCCCATTGCTCCATTGAGTTCTAGTCTCCAGAGTAGCAGAAAACATCCTGCTCTCTTTTCCTGATGGCATATCTGCAAATATTTAAACATGGCTATGATGTTCTCCACTCACCTGTCCCTTCTGCAGGCTAAACATCTCCAGCTCCTCATAGGGCATCCTCTTACTGTGTTTCCCTTTTGATTTAATTTGTTTTTTTTAATTTTGAAACTGTGCACTTCCACAAGACCAAAAACATGCTTTTATATTTCTTCAATTGGTTAGACGTCAGGAAGTTGTGTGGTTGTGCAAGACCAGCCAAAATAAACATTTAACAAGTGGAAGACAGTGACATGGGTAAACAGTCTAACAATTAACATTACTTTTTAGCTACTTTAAATTATATACTTATTAAAAAATGTTAAAATGGTTGCCAATATCTCAAAAGCATCATGTCAGGTATAATGACCATCAAGTCATGTTTTGGGACACTTTTGGCCCATTTTCATATGTGTAATGCATGTACAAACAATAATAATTAAAATAACTAAAAGTTATAGTTTAACAACACATTACATTAACCCCTGGTGGCGCAGTGGGTTAAACCCCTGTGCTGGCAGGACTGAAGACCGACAGGTCACAGGTTCGAATCCGGGGAGAGGCGGATGAGCTCCCTCTATCAGCTCCAGCTCCTCATGCGGGGACATGAGAGAAGCCTCCCAGAAGGATGATAAAAACATCAATTCATCTGGGTGTCCCCTGGGCAATGTCCATACAGACGGCCAATTCTCTCACACCAGAAGCGACTTGCAGTTTCTCAAGTTGCTCCTGACACGACAAAAAACAAAAACAAAACCCAAAACACATTACTATTTAAATAACAAGAAATAGCAATGGGTTATTTTTTTAAAAAAAAAACCCAACAACATTCCAGTCTCTAGCTATGTAGGGTGACAATAATTCAGTTTCCCCAGCATGGTTTGTTTTGAGTATTTTAATAAAGCAGTAAAGCATAACATGTTTCAAATATGTATCCCAGTTGAATTGGATGCCACTTGCAGCATGGAACACCAAATACAATGGCTGTTAAACATGTAGATTCATCCAGAAAAATCATTATTTGTATTAGTATTAGACTTCCTGGGGAGGTGGGAAGAATGTGAATCCTGCATAAAACATGCATTAAATCATTGACTTGTTTCAAGATTTTCTTTTCCAGACCCAAATGCCATAAAAGTAAATGAGGGGTTTTCTATGCTGATTACAGAAATTGGTGAAAAGATTGTTTGTTTTATTATTGATTTTTGACTTGGTAGTATTGTGAAAGGGGTTTGTAAATGTTCAAGAGAAAAATAGCTTTGAAGGAGCTTGTTGTCAGTGCGTCAGCAGAACAGAAAAGTATCAGCATAGTTTGCAGTACCGATAGATTTTCACAGCCAAATTTAACAAGGAAGTAGATGAACAGATACTAGGATAAAAGTGGCATTCTCTGGATTTCATTGCTTCACGTTTTCCATCAAGCAGGCCACTATGTAATTACAGCCAAATCTTAGCAAAGACTTTCAAAGCCAAGTAATGTAATAGAGGATTTAGCATTGGATATATAGCGAGCAGTTGGACCCCCTGGTCTTCACAGTTCCCAGATTTGCTTGGAATCAAATAAAATGCAAGGAAAGCTTTGCTGGTCAGAGCAAAGGCTGGTGTAATTCAGCATACGGCTTTCTGCAGCAACTTACCAGATACTTCCACAAAGTTCACAAGTGAGCAGAATGGCAATTACCTCTGAATTCAGCATTACAATTACCTATGAATGTACTGCTTCTTTTTAGCCGTTCTGATAACTATGGATAAATCTCTGCTTCATGTATATATTTAATATCATGTTAAATCAGGGTGGAAAACTTTGGCATATCCAAGGGTATTTTTTGCTTCCCCACGCACAGTGCAAGCTGCACATTGTCAGTTTCACAGTGCTTCTGAAATTCAGCAACACCCTAGGAAATAAAAATGTAAAACTTGCAACAGAATACCTCCGAGTACCCTTTAAAGTATTTTCTGTTAGTTTAAATATATTTTAGCTATTTCCCCACAGTATTTCAACAGTGAGCTTGGTCCCTAAAATTTAAGAGTGTTTTTTGTGATTACATCAACCTTGGCAGGCCCATACATACTACAAACCACATGTAGAGGCACGTCTTGTTGTTGTTCATTTGTTCAGTCGTTTCCGACTCTTTGTGACCTCATGGACCAGTCCATGCCAGAGCTCCCTGTCGGCCGTCACCACCCCCAGCTCCTTCAAGGTCAAGCCAGTCACTTCAAGGATACCATCCATCCATCTTGCCCTTGGTCGGCCCCTCTTCCTTTTTCCTTCCATTTTCCCCAGCATCATTGTCTTCTCTAAGCTTTTCTTTCTTCTCATGATGTGGCCAAAGTACTTCATCTTGGCCTCTACTATCCTTCTCTTCAATTAGCAGTTGGGCTTTATTTCCTGGAGGATGGACTGGTTGGATCTTCTCGCGGTCCAAGGCACTCTCAGAACTTTCCTCCAGCACCAGAGTTCAAAAGCATCTATCTTCCTTCACTCAGCCTTCCCTATGGTCCAGCTCTCACATCCATAGGTGATTATGGGGAATACCATTCCTTTAACTATGTGGATCTTTGTTGCCAGTGTGATGTCTCTACTCTTCACTATTTTATCAAGATTGGTCATTTCTCTCCTCCCAAGAAGTAAGTGTCTCCTGATTTCCTGGCTGCAGTCTGCATCTGCAGTAATCTTTGCACCTAGAGATACAAAGTCTGTCACTACCTCCATGTTTTCTCCCTCTATTTCCCAGTTGTCAATAATTCTTGTTGCCATAATCTTGGTTTTTTTATGTTTAGCTGCAACCCAGCTTTTGCGCTTTCTTCTTTCACCTTGATTAGAAGGCTCCTCAGCTCTCCTCACTTTCGGCCATCAAAGTGGTGTCATCTGCATATCTAAGGTTGTTAATGTTTCTTCGAGCAATTTTAACTCTAGCCTTGCATTCAACAAGCCCAGCACATTGCATGATGTGTTCTACATACAAGTTGAATAGGTTGGGTGAGAGTATACAACCCTGCCGTATGCCTTTCCCAATCTTGAACCAGTCTGTTGTTCCATGGTCTGTTCTTACTGTTGCTACTTGGTCCTTATACAGATTCCTCAGGAGAGAGACAAGGTGATTTGGTATGCCCATACCACCAAGAACTTGCCACAATTTGTTATGATCCACACAGTCAAAGGCTTTAGAATAGTCAATAAAACAGAAATAGATGTTTTTCTGAAACTCCCTGCCTTTCTCCATATTGGCAATTTGGTCTCTCGTTTTCGTTCGTTAATTCGTTAATTCGTTAAACATTCGTTATTTTAGGCATTTTTGAAGCGATATCAAAACACATTTCCAAACCCGGAAGGGTTTTAAAATATCGAACCGGCAACCCCCATAGATTTAACGAGCTTCCGCTCGTTTCGTTAATGGGGTGGAGGCTGCTGGAGTGCTGGTGCCTGGGAGCCAATCCGGCGCTCCCAAGCAGTGCACCATGGGTCCGTGGCTGTTTGTTTTTGATTGGCCGGCGAGCCCTTTCAAAGCGGCTCCGCGCGGCCCGTAGCTTGCTGCAGAGGGCGAGGGAGTTTGCATTGGGTTGGCTTGGCTGCTAGCAACTCGGATTGGATTCATTCCTTGCTGCTGTGAGTGCTGCTTGCTTCATTTGCTGTCTCTTGCCTGTGTTTGGTCCACATTTGGGCCATTTTTTGGTTAATTTTCCATTTTAAAATATTTTAATATTATTTTTTAATATTATTTTTAATTTTTTAATATTATTTTTTAATATTATTTTTAAAAAATATTCTAAAAAAGAAAAGACTCTTCTGTTGGTGTGTGCTCTCATTTGCTGTCTCCTGCCTGTGTTTGGTCCACATTTGGGCCATTTTTTGGTTAATTTTCCATTTTAAAATATTTTTTAATATTATTTTAATATTATTCTTAAAAAATACCAAAAATATTCTAAAAATTCGTTAATATTTACAAAATTTCGTAAATACCAAAACTTTTTTGGGGGAAAGTTTTGTAATTATTTTAAATATCGAAACAAAAAAACACCCCAATTACAAATCGATTTTAGAAACAATTTTTTCTTGATCAAACAGGCCTATAGATATTGGCAATTTGGTCTCTCATTCCTCTGTCTCTTCTAAACCCAGCTTGTACATCTGGCAACTCGACCTTTAAATTGGGACCAGTCCAGCATGCTCTACCCCAAATCAAGCCCAATCAGACCCCAAATGGGAACTCCCTTAGTTGTTCTGGAGATGGGAGGAAGTTGGCACCTATGAGTGGTCATTGTAAGTGTCCTCCACACCCCATATCGTGACAGTCTCTGGCACAACACAGAAGCTACCCCTTCCCCATCATTTGCTTTGACTCCAGCCTGAGAGTCAGTGCACTAGGGAAGGAGGGAGAGGAGGAAATCTCCCATTGAAGAAGCTACCCCTTCCCCATCATTTGCTTTGACTCCAGCCTGAGAGTCAGTGCACTAGGGAAGGAGGGAGAGGAGGAAATCTCCCATTGATTCACGGTGCCTTCTCGGTGTTCTCTGTGACTCTAGTTGACTTCAGTCAAAGCAATGGGGGTGGAGAGAATAGTTACAGTGTACAACCATAGACAGGGAAAGCAGGATGACAATCAGGACAGTTTGGTAGATTCTGGTTGGCGACTGCCATGTTAAGGTGATCTTGCCATGCATCACTGTGGTCATCATTGTATACTGTGTCATTTAACAGCATAGCACATACATTAATTATGTGCTATTTGAATAAGCATCTTGGACTTTATGACATGAGGAAGGCAAACCTATCACATGATGTTGTGCACATCCCACTGCCAGTCTGCCAGTTACCATCACTTACCTTGTGTGATCAAATCATTTCTCTTCTGCACCAGTGACAATTGTTTCTGCTGAACCAAACTGGCCACTGTCTGTGGTTGGAAAAGTGTTGAAACTGCCAGCACCAGTGAACACGCTGCTGTAGGAACTGCCAGGATTCACCAACATCACATCCTACAGAAGCAGCCATAGTGGTCATATTCAAACCAGATTGTTGTTGTTGTTATTAGAACCTGTACTGTTGCTACCTGATTAGAAGTGAGTGCAAATTTTGAAGT